GGGACTTTTCCAGTGCCTCTCCAATCTTCTGGAACTCCCTGCCCCAGTATGTTCGGTTAGCTCCTACCCTGTCAACCTTTAAATGATCCTTGAAAACACATTTATTCAGGGAAGCCTACCCCACCTCCCCTAAGAACTGTACTTCAGTCACCTCCATCAGATCATCCCCTGCAGCTATTACCTTTTGTACCACCTCCCCCTCCCTTTAGTAGGCTCCATGAGCAGGGCCCTCCAATTCCTTCTGTATCAAACTGTATTGTAATTGTACTGTCCCCCTTATATTGTAAAGTGCTGCATAAACAGCTGGCTCTATATACATCCTGTATAATAATAATAATTTTGCCAAAGCAGAAACTCTCAGTTTTACTCATCAAGCTGCTTGTATGAAATTGCTTGGGGAAAAAAAAAAAACATAATTTCACTGTCCCCTGGCTGTATAGAACATGGGATGTTGTCTGGTTGCTAGCTGGGAAATATAGCCTGATGGACACTTTGTGAAGGCGATGCTCGCAAGTTATCTTTGAAAACATGATCTGTCAACACATTTGCTGGACAGCGTGTTGGCTGATCCAAAGTGTTAAATGGAAAGTAATAATTGAAACATTTGCAAAGGTGTTAAATTAAAAAGCTGCTGCACTCTACACATCTGTCTGAATTCCCCTTCTATTATCTGAAGAACACTCCAATTCAGACTAAACACTCAACGTCAGAATACAAAGGGCAGAAGAACACTTATTACCTAGAATGTCACCATCTCACACATCTCCGATCACAAACCCAGAGATAGAGAACACCGATAAAATGATGGCAATTATAAAACATCTATAGCGGCGGAATGTACATTGACACCGCATGCTAAAGTGGTTGTAAACCCTAACATATACCCAGTAAAGTGACTGGCCTCAGGTGATACATATATGAAACAAATCATCCTACATAAGTCATACTTGTTTATCTGCAGTCTTCTCTTCTCTACATCCATTCAAAGTCCAGAATTTATACAGCTTTTCTAAGCTTTCAGAAAACTGGGGGAGGAGAGCTGAAATTACTCTCTGCAGAGCTCAGTGAGGAGAGCTCTGAGAGCTGATTGGAGGGAAAGGCCACACCCCCTTTACATAGCACACAGGAAAAAAGCTGAGGCTATCAATCACAGGCTGTATGCTGGAAGTCCCTCCCCTGTCACCTTTTTCCTCTTGGTGTCAGGAACACTGGTCTGAAGTGACTCATCCAGATAGCAAAGGCAAGAGGCAGCAGACAAAAGTGACACTTACTGCTCTGGAATGTGACAAGTACACACTATAGAAGGAGATGCCTTATTCATATTTTATGTCTGAAGTTTACAACCATTTTAACTGCCTCCCGCAAGGCCATTCTCTTGTTCTGGGAGGATGTCATATGACGTCCTCCCACTCTAACCGCGCGAGCGCGTTCCCGGGGGCGTACAGTGCAGCGATTGGTGGTGCACTGTGTCCCTGGGACACAGTGGATCACCGATCCACATAAAGACCAGAAGACGTCACCATACACATGTAAATAAGGAAATGTCGGTTATCGGCATTGCTCTCCTCACGAGCTGTCACGCTGAGCTGTGCTCCAGAGCTTAGTAAATGAGGTGAAGCTTCACTTTGCAAGTAATACCCAATCACATGCAAGGAAAAAAAACATGCTTGGATGATGGAAGTAAACAGAGCTTCCCTTCATTTACTAAGCTTTGGAGGAACCGCACTTTCAAAGTGGACAGTCTATTTGCCTTTAGTAAATCAATTCCTATATTGATAAAAGCATTACCTTTTATCAATAAAATGTTATTCTTGAGCCCCAGCCCAGTGACTTTGCCTGGGCTGAGAATATGTTGTCAGTCTGCTGCAGGCAGGAGGAGGCATTTCCTCAGTCTCCTCTCCCCAGTGATCACACTGTACACTGTAAGGGCTCACTCAGATATGTGCCAGCCCTTGCCGCCCCTCTAAAATGTGATCATGCTTTTCACAGAACAGTTGACAGGTGGCTGTGAGGTGGTGTGTGACCTCCTAGCCACCTTATTTAGGCCTCCAAAGGCTGAACCGCCACACCACAAGCACGTGCATTGCATTTATTTGAATTTTTCATGTTTGGTGGTGATTATACAAAAGCATGGTGCTGCAACCTATGGACTCTGTATGAAATATAGGGGTCACTTCACCTGTGTCAAGTTCACAGCCGGACAAGCTGTTGAAAGATGCATCCAAGTAGTGAGAGAGATTGGCAGCCAGACATTCAGTGCAAATCTTCCTTATTACAAACCAATAGGGACAAAAAGTATACAATACAAAAAAGTTATTGACGCGTTTCTGCTCTTACAGGCCTTAGTCATAGCAGCTGCCTGTAACGGCAGAAACACATCTGCATCTTTTTGTGTGTTGGATCCTTTTTGTCCCTATGGGTTTGTAATAAAGAAGATTTTATATGCACTTAATGTCTATCTGCTGATATTTCTCTACTAGCATGTTCATTGGCGGTACTGCCGGCTGAATGCAAAAGAGGGTTTCATTTTTTCACCAACTGTCCTGAATAACTGCATGTCCCAGTTTAGGTGGGCGGCCAGGGGACAGTAAGGCTACGTTCACACTAGCTTTGTCAACAGGCTTCAGACAGGCATTTGGGAAGCATTTTTAACGCTTCTCAAATGCCTATAAAAATTCTGCACAAGGCGGCACACAGTGCTGTTCACACTGAAGCGTTAGCGTCGAGTCACGTTGCGTAGTGGCAAAACGGATGCCTCATGTCGAGTCAGGAGGTGTTGAAGCCTCCCATTCAAGTCTATGGTGCTGCTCTTCAAATGCCTGATAGGTGTTTACGAGGTGGTTGTGGAGCATTAATACCATTTAACTTCATTATAGGCATTTGTGGTGCAGTTTTAATGCTTGGCAAACGCCTATCAAAAGCCTCAAAACAGTGCATAGGGCGTTAGGGGAGCGTTTGAGGAGCGTTAAAAATGCTTCCCAAACACCTGTCTAAAGCTTGTCAAACGCTATAGGGGCGTTTGGCAAGAGTAAGAAATAAAGTCAAGTGTGAACGAGCCCTTACACTGCTGCACAACCTGCTTTTACCACCCCCTGGCTGTCCCTGTGACCAAGTCCTGACTTTGTAGAAAAGTGGGAGGCTGCAACAGGGGCTGATCTGTGTCAGATTTACCTGGTTGTCTCATCTCTGAGTCGACATCTCAGTCCAGGAGGTAGATGCTGAGCCTAAATGAAGCCTGAACAAAGATGGTGCCACCCTTCTGATGATAAAAGCAGATGGAGGCCTTGTCAGGAGCAGCACTGAGACCTCTGCTATCAGTAATACTTATACATTACATAGTCTGCATCCACTTAATGTGAAAATCTATATCTGGAGTCAGGTCAGCTTTAGGATAAATTATCTGCAGTTTTAAGTGAAAGCAGCCAAAGTTCAGCGAATAATTGGAAGTGTTGCTAAAGTTTATGAAGGGAGACTCATAAAGCGAAAAGTTGGCTTGTGACCCAAATTCAAATATCAGTTTGCATGAACTTGGCATTGAAAGATTTTTGATTTTCTAAATTAAGACTACAGACTCGAAGGAGACTCAACTCAACTTTTTTCCTTATCCAAACTTTAAGAACAATCCACTAATCAGGGAATCTGTGTAGGAAACGATCGTCAGACACACAGCAATGCATTGTTTGGATAATCGGTCTCAGATGCTGCGGATTCTGCAACTTTTCGAGGTGAAGTCTTTCTAAACACGAGATCAAAGCGCTTTTGGGGAATATGCGGAATCAAAGAGCTCATACATATTCAAACCCTCTCCTGGCTTCCCAATTCTTGTTAGAAATCATGAAATGAGCTTTTATTTACACCCTCCACCCCCCTGCGCAGAACTTCAATGGTGAGGATTTGAAGTCATTAAAAAAAAAAAAAAAACATTGCCAAAAGCTTGCTAATTTACAAGCTGATCGCACCATGGTGCTACAAGAAAATTAGGGGAATAGGAAATATCACATTTCAGAGTCTCAAAAGGAAAGTGTTGACAGGAGGTTAGAGCAACAATGTTCATTTCGGCTGTTTATTAGATGGAAACATGACCTTGAGGTGCGAGGACGACGCATTCTGCTTTTGGTGGTCGCAAAATTAGTCTTACAGGTCATCAGGTTTCACTGAATGTTTGGTAATTATGAGTGTGGGATCCGTTACACGGATGCCCGTTATCCAGGAGGCTTCAAAAACCCAAAAAATAAATAATTGCTCAAAGTTTTTTTTTTTTTGTAAATGAAAAGTAAGTGGGTAGACTGGTTTTCAAAAGGCAGTCAATGATCTGTTGAATCGTTTATGGCGTTTAGAGACGTAATTACTATAGCCATGAAATATATCCTAAAAATAAATTGCTGTCTTTTTAGCCAAAATGTTTTTTTTTCTGCAAGTGAATAGAAGGGGATTCTTCAAAAACTGGCAGTTGATGTTGCCTTCTATAGTATAGTTCTAGCATTGCATTAACCAATTAAAACTACATGTACATTCATTCTCTGTGAAATAACCAGTCATGAATGCAGAAGCAAAACTAGCCCAAAGCATCGATTGACCCTCCACCATTTTCACACAGTTGGCACAGGTGTTTCTTTTCATCATAGGCCTTGTTCTTCCTCCTCCAAACATAGCGTTGATCCATGGCCCAAACAGTTCTAAACCAGCAATCACTTACTAGGCCCCATGTACACTGGGCATCAGAAATGCAACTTTTAACTGAGTTTGACTTTTTTTTGTTATTATTCTAAATGACCCTCTATTTTAGCCTATGTGTCTATGCACAAATAAGCGAATACAGGCATTTAGGGGTGAAAAAAAACCTTTGGCAGAAAAAAATGACCAACGTACGCTAGGAACATTTAGACCAGGGCTTAAAATTTCAAGTCCTGAGCTACTAGCCAGGCCTTAGAGTTACTCGCCACCAACAAACACACACAAACAGAGACACCTGTACCAAGGGCGGACTGACAACTCATGGGGCCCAAACTCAAAAAAGCCTATAAAAAGGTACCAGGGGCATCTCATGGCGCCCCCTACTGACCCCGGGCCCTCGGGCGGTGCCCGAGTTTCCAAATGGTCAGTCCGCCCCTGACCTGTACACACACACACAGACATGTACATACACAAACAAACGTACACACACGCACAGAGACACATGTACACACACAGACATGTACATACATACACGCACATAGACACATGTACACACACACAGACACATGTATACACAAACAGGCATGTACAGACACACATACACACAGATACATGTACATACACAGAAATACAGACGCACAGACACATGTACATACATACAGACACACATACATACATACACAGACACATAGACACATGTACGTACATACACACAAACACACATGTACATGCACACACATACAGACATGTGCACACACAGACACATGTACACACACATACTGTACATGTACATACACACAGACACATGTACATGCATACACAGACACACACAACCACACACACATGTATACGTACACACACACACCTATAAAAAGTTGCAGTACTTTGTTCACTCACAGAGCCGGGTACTGCACTCTAGGGGGAGGCAGAGAGCACAGTACACACTCCTTCCTTTGCTTTCACTGCGCTCAGCTATTGAGCAGTCTGACAGATCCCAGTGCCAATCACAGATCCGGCCTGAGCTCCGAGCCTGCTCAGCAAGACGGCCCTGGGGGACACACTCGCCCCCACCATAATTTCCACTCGCCATTGGCGAGCGGGCGAGTGGAAATTTCAAGCCCTGATTTAGACCTTCAGTAAAACACATACAATAACAAGAGGTATATCACTTAGCCAGTGTTCCACAACTGTGAGCCAATGTCCATAGTCCATAAAGGGTAAGTGGCCAGGATGGGTGAGGTCAGTGTATAGATCCAATCAGAGGTCCCCTTGAATGCGACCTGGGACCGATCCAACTTAGATAAATGAAGAGAACACAAAGGCAAGCCTCTGGGGTTAGTAGGATCAGAAACAACAACACTTTAAATTAGCACACTTACAGCTTAAACTCTTGTAATCCAGCCTGGGAAGCATTCCCCTTTGTCCAGCAGCTACTTGACAAAGAGGGTGGAGCCCCTGAAACATGTCATCCATTTGGCGTTACACCTGTCATCCGTATGCTCTGTTGCACCCATAGATGCCGCCGGTTCTCCTTCCTATTGGTGGGATTCCGGGCTCCCATACAGGCTGCTGCACCCAGGGAATATCTGATTGCCTCTCGGGGGATCAGGAAGGAATTTTTTTCCCATGCAGGAGCAAATTGGATCATGCTTTGCTGGGGCTTTTGCCTTCCCCTGGATCAAATGTGGGTATAGGATTATAACTTTTTTTTTTTTTCTATGGTTGAACTGGATGGGCTTTTGTCTTTTTTCAACCAGACTATGATTGGTCTTCTGTTGCTCTATACACGCTGCATATCCTCTGATGTTTCCCAGGCCAGATTACAAGATTTTAAGCTGTAAGTGTGCTAATTTAATAATGTTGCTGTTTCTGACCCTGCTAACCCCAGCGCCTTGCCTCTGTGTTTCTCTTCACGTTTTGACTTTGAGCATTCATTCATTTCAGTGACCAGAATAAATGAATATTCTGGCCAATGAAATGACCGCCAAAATGTTTGACGTGCCTGAACTCCTCTAAACGTGCTTGAAAAACGCAACTTTAGGCACATTTTTTAAGTTGCTTTTCTCCTACCAGGAGAAAGGCATTCAGAAGAGCTGGGCAAATGCCCAGACTTCATGAGGCCTAAGTCTGAGGAATTTTGTATATAGCTGTAGCTGTTCTGCGAATGGGGTTGACCTTCCAACCATAGGTCCAGATCTGTGTGTGTCAGGAACACACGCAAAATTGCACGCTTTCCCAACAAGTGGAGAAACACACAAATATTTAGCAGATGCACGCCAGTGCCATGAGTTGTTAATGGCACCACCACCTATCTGTAAATGCACATATTTTCGGTGTGGAACATTTTTGGAAAAGAGTCAAGGACTTCTTTTCTGCATTTCTCATGTGTCCCTTCCCTTCAATCATCTCTCAGTGAGCTCTGCAGAGTGTAACATCTGCTCCCCATCTTTTGCTTTCTTAAAGCTCACACAAGTTGTATAAATTCATTGTGAACAGCTGTAGAGAATAGAAGGCTCTGGATAAACAGGTACACCTTATGCAGGAAGTTTTGTTTCATCTCTATGTTTCACACAAGACCAGTCATTTCATTGGGTATATGCAAGGGCTTACAAGCAGTTCAATTTAAAGTGTTACTAAACCCACAACAGTACAATCAGTCTGTATATGCAGTAAAGCATGCTTGTTATACTCACTATGGAACCTAAGGGGTTAATTCTCTGCATTGTGTAAAAAGGTTGTTTGTTTCTGACTTCTCTGATCTTCCACTTCTTCCAGTGCCCCCCTCTTATCTCCTGATAAGACATATGGTGTGGAAACACTCTGCACATGCTCAGTTTGGTGTGTATTGCTCGATAGGGTTTTTTTTTTCTTGGGAGAGTGCATGTGACCAGCACAGGGCCAATCAGCGCTGTCCATACAGAGGTCAGGGGTTTTGCATCCTCCTACAGCAGAATGAAAATTCCTTCTGTAAGCTTTAACATGTGCTCCGCTGGACACTGATAGAAGTCACAAGACTGCTCTAACTGCTGATGAGAAAAGGTAATTAGCAGTTTATATTGACTAAAATAATTGCATTTCCATGTTGTCTGTACTGTGGGAGACCACATATAGTGAATGCAGGGTCCTGGGTTTAGTAACACTTTAAAGCAGTGCAGCCCATAGCATCAAACCAACTCAGTAAAACCCTTGAACCAGACAAAATTTACCAGACATTTTTCAGAACAAAGTCCTGACACAGGTTAATCCCCAACTCACTTGGAAAGGGTATGCTTGCTTCCCTTACAGTCATCTGGCACTGTATCAGAGACAAAATATAAATCTTCCAAATAATGGGGTAGTTGATAGATCTCTTCTTCCACATTGAACAACGTAGTTACCTGCATGGTACATTTTTTAAATGCATTTCCATTCTTGAGCACAAATAATGGAGACTATAGATGAAAACTATGTACAGAACAGCCTATTTGCTCAGCTGAAACCATGTGTTGGACATAGTAATTGCAAACTCACTGAAGGTAAAATTATGACAATAAGAAAGAAAATGCTAATGACTAACGGGAGTGCTGAATTCAGGCCAGCTGATAATTAGTAGTAGGCACCAAGCCATGTACTAATGGACTGCTAATGTAGAGGTGTCAGGGAAAGGCAAACCAAATACTAAAACATGCATTGGCAACCATTGACTGACTATTTGTCGTAGAGCTACATGTGCTACACCAGCTAGAAAAGGCTCAAAGGTTATCCATGCCATTGAAATGGAAAACCCATACATTTTTGTTCTTACTGGAAAAAAGTGAACAGTGGAAGGCCATTGCAATGTATTCTGCATTTTCTTCAAAACTGTTCTGTTTTACTCATTAAAAGTAATGCAGGGGCGATTTTGTAATAAAGGGTAAAAAACACTGTATTGGAACCTGATAACTTATGTTTTAAGATGTGCTAGGGGACACGAGTGGCTCCTTGGTTCAATAAGAAGAGTTTTCTTTTTTGTGATGTTAAATCCAAGGTAACCTTAAAGGGGAACTCCACCCAAAAGGGGAAGTTCTGCTTTAAGGCCTCCTCCCCCCCACCTCCTCTTTCACAATTGGCAATCTTTTTGGGAGGTGGGGAGTGGGTACCTGATTTTGACAGGTACCCGCTCCCACTTCTGCTTGGATCCTAGTGGAAGTGCCCCTGTCTCCCTCCCTCTCTGCAGTCACAGCTCCTAGAAGACTACAGGATCAATCACAGTACACAGCATGGATGACGCATGCGCAGTGGGCCCCCGGCTGTGAAGCCGCAAGCTGTCACAGCCGGGTGCACACAGCTAAGATGTCGGACCAAATATGGTATCCGGCACCCCCTTGGGTGAGCACACTGCTGGATTCAGGGACAGGTGAGTGTCTGTTTATTAAAAGTCAACAGCTAACGTTTTTGTAGCTGCTGACTTTTAATTTCTACAAAAACGACTGGAGTTCCACTTTGATTAAACCAGACTATGCTTTATGGTCACATAAAAAAAAAAAAAAATACAGTAATCTTGTAAAACATATTCGATGGCAACCTAAAGTTGAACTCCTGCCTTTTTTTAATACATGATTAAAGCAAAAAAAGCAGCCATGGCTGCAAATTTCACTTCCTCTCAAGAAATGTCCACGCAATGATTCCTTTCCACAACTAGATGTCCTCAGACTTCCAGGTAGAAAACTAATTAAAAAAAGTAATCAAACCAAATAAAGAAAAAACACTTTTTTTTCTACTTTGACTGAGAGTGTATGAAAAAATATTGTCATTAGAAATAAAAAGTATAAAAGTTATGCTATAAATCATCCCATTTAAATGGCACCAAAGTTGTGATTCCGGTACAAAGCATTGAAAAGTTATTTACAAATGTATGTCTCTTTTTTCAAATGTGCATTGTTTTTAATGACATACTGAAAAAAAAAAAAATGAATGAACAAAGTTAAGAAAAAAAAGATTAAATATTAATGGTTAGATAAATAAAAACTAAAAAAAAAAATCTGAAGAGAATAACATGTAAGGGAAGAAGGGGAAGAAGGAAGAAAATAGAATGATTAGGCCTCATGCACACAGGGCGTTTTTGCAGCCACTTTTAGGGGTGTCAGGCGTTTTTTTTTTTTTTTTTTACTGCATCTAAACAGGCCTCCATGTTATCCTATAGACTTTTAGAAGCTTTTTTTAGTAGTAGTACCGTTTACATGCAGGAAAAAAATCCAAGGGCCAGTGTGTCCAGGAGCAGCAGCGTCTTGGCAGAAAAAACACTTGAAGTAGCTAATCACAACTAAACGCCGCTAAATGCTAGATGCGTTTAGCGCTTGAGGGTTAATAAATTTGACTGTCCAGAATAAATTATCCTTCCGGCCAATTAAATGAATTAACGCACAAGCGCTTGATGCTTGTAAATGCTCCTAAATGCTTGTAACAACATTAGACACTTTTACAAGCGTCAGGCATTTTTTTCTGCAAAAGCGATGCTGCCAGGAGGACAGCTTTTAGGAATTTTTTTTTTAACGCCTGTGTGCATGAGGCCTTATAGTAAACTAAAGGTTAATATGGGGCTAAATGGGAACACATTTTCTTTTCGTTTTACTTGTCAGGTTGTTTAACCAATACACGCCCGGCCAATAGCCCAAAGGCGGCCGGAAAAATGTATTGGATTTCCGGGTGGACGCCAAATGGCGTCCTCCCGCACATGCGCACTTTTCGCGTTTGCAGAGCCGTGCAGCGGCGCGATCTGTCACCGGCCGTGTACCTCGGACACGGCTGATGACAGATCTGAGTATCGGCCCCGTTGCCGGTACCATGTGACCTGCTGTGACCAATCACAGCAGGTCACATGACAGTTGTATACAATGGATGGCTTCATTCATGCCATCCATTGTATACTACTGCCTAGCTGCAGGGCTTTCTTTCTGCCGGAACGCGGCGGTACTGCGTTCCGCCACCTTTTTCTTCTTGTCCCCGCTCACCGACTGCCTTTGCAGAGCTGACAAGCTATGCAGAGCAGCGAAAGTGACAGGTGCCGGACGCGGCTTGTTTATGTCATGCTTGCGCGTGCCCGGCACCTGTCACTGCCGCTGCTCACAGCCGGTGAGCGGGGACATGCACGCTTCACCCCCCCCCTCTAC